TTTTTCTAGAGAAATTCACTTACCAGTTTATACTAAAAAGGGAAGTCTTCAAAAGCTATACTTTGGGCACACTGAAACGCGAACGACTTTAAATACAAGAAGTGAAAGAAACGACCATGTTATAGTCGGCCTACCCTGAAACAGGAATATATCTCATATTGGCAAAACACGCTTCAACATTCTCAAAAACTTGATTTTGTAGATCTTTTAAAACCGATCATACCTCCTCTAGTTACTTAGACTTAATAAAAGGAACAGCTGGGAGAAGGGCTTTAGTAAAACTACGAATAAGCCTGAATCACAAACTAATGATAGAAATAGGCAGATACCATCAAACTACGAAGGATAATAGGCATTGCCCTTTTTGTGGATGCAATGTAATAGAAGATGAAGTTCACTTTCTTTTTCAATGTCCTACATAGTCCAAGATTAGGAATAAATTTTAGAATAAAGTCAAGACTCTAATTCCAAATATTACCCAGTTACCTATAAACGGTTTGATCAATGAACTGATGAACTCTTCTAATTACTTTACCAAAGTAACGTAATTGCCATGTGTTGTAATTTTGATTCCTAAACATAGCTTTTGCAATACTGTACGTGTTTGTATGGTCATGCAAGTAAAGCACGTTGCTGTTATTTGAGACGCGTCCTATTTTTTCTCGTATGAATGGCCCTATTACCTCTTAACACATTTCGATAACCCTTTACCCTAAGCTCGATTTCAGCCGCCAGCTCTCTCTCCTTGAAGTTTACCCCCTTTCTTTTTTTCGTTTGTTATTACTTACCGAATTTACTCGAATAGACGCCGCGGCGTTTATTTCATTTTTCGCGATCCAGCTGCGGCGTTTATTCGAGGGCGGCGTCTATCCGGGCGCGGCGTTTATTCAAAAATCACTTTATTCAGTACTAAATATCGTACTACATATGGTAACTTTTTTGAAAACTTTATTGAAGCGAACGCTGAAAGAAAACTTTGTGCACGAGTCACTGGAAGGAGAAAGAGAGAAGTCGGCCTTGTAGTACCAGTGAAGTTCTCTGCATTAACAGCAGAATTACGCGTTGCAAAAATTCTTGAAAGAGAACTCAACACAAGAGCAAAAAATTACAGTCACTTTGAACTAAAACATGTTGTTCTAAAAGAAAATAGATTTCCATTGCTGTTTTAAACTTGAAATAGACTTTTCTTTAATAATTATTATAAATCATTATTTCCTCAAATAAACGCCGCACCGTAGACGCGGCGTCTATTGGGGGGCGGCGTCTATTAATATTTTGAGTCTCAAGTGCGGCGTCTATTCGGGGGCGGCGTCTATTCGAGTAAATGCGGTATTCCTTAATTTTTTGTCCATTTATTCCTGCCTATTTCTGAAATCCATAAAAGCGCCCATTTAATATTGCACGCTATTCTTTATTTTAAATGGTAACGTTTTAGCTTAACCTCTTCATTATATGTAAGACCCCGAAGAAGGAAGCAGTGCCTTCTGAAATATTGGTAAAAATAAAACTGTAAAATCAGCTTTGCTTCTTTTGTTTCTATATTTTCACTTATTGCTGATGAGATCCTTTATTAGGATCCCGTTCTTCTCAGTTTTTTGTAAGCTGGTCCTTGCTTCAAAAATTGAACCCATTTGAGGAGCACGAGGTCAAGCTGTTGTCTAGCCGGCAATCGCAAGTAGTCTCTTGACTAAGACACGTGAAAATATGTTCATTAAAGGATGGGCACATTCTAGTAAAGGTTTAGTATGGCTTTGAAATCCGATGATAAAAAGCTAATCCCGGATATGTGTTTGCTTAGTCCCTTAATCTCCTAAAATAGTTGTATATTTATTTTCCGTTTTTAAATTGAGGACAGAAAGGTAAGAAATTTAATTAAAATCAATACAATTAGACAGCTTTACGTTCACTTGGTTTAGGTTGCCATTAGTTTACACGCACTTTCTAAGCGTACTGCTCGAAAACATAACAAAAATTTTCCCATGTTTTGATGCCCTCACGAAGTGGAAAAAAAATTATAATATTTCAATACAGGTGTACCATTGAGTGCGCTCCTCAAAGTAAATCAACCAATAAATGTAGATAAAAGGCTAAAAAAAAAGAAAAAGAAAAACTGACCAGAGCCACTAAAAAGGCGATCTCCCTCGCAATAGAAAGAAAATTTAACCTTCTAGCCATTGGGGTGACTCCTGTAGTCACAGGGAAAGTTTAATTTGTTATAAATTGTGAGGACAAAAACGGAAATGTAAGATGAGTTACGAATAAAAATGATGATTTGGCCTTTTGCTCTTCTTATCTAGACCTTCGCGTGCAACAAACGGTTTGTAGTCCCTGGACTGGGCAGACACTTTAAGCCACGTGGAAGTTCGTCACAAGGGATAAGGACTCTTACGTGTCTTTGGTCAACGGAAACCGATGAATTGTTCAACAAAATGTGCAATAAACATATTTTTTAGCTCAGAAAGGATAAATCTTAAATCTTTAATCTAAGCTTTTAAGTTTCCTGCCAAAGACTTGCTTACATACGTCACCCAGAAACGCGTCAACAGAGCTTCAGTTACATTGGGCAATTAAACACACCTGGAGAGCATGCTCCCGGCAAAAATTGTTCTTAATGTGTTCTTTGTTCACTGCATACGGAATTAACTAATGCCATGTTTAGAGCGGTTTTCACTTGACTGTCGTAAAACCAAAACCAAAGTAAATACACTAGCCAACCAAAGGGCGTAGTAAAACCAAAACCAAAACCAAAACCAATCCCTTTCGACAGTCAAGTGAAAACCGCTCTAAAACAAATAAAGCTTTTATCCATTTGCGACTCCATGGAATATTTGAAAAGCAATTGTTATCCAGGATTCCTTAACACAGCTCCATGGAAAGATAAGTGACATCTTTACCTAGCCTTGAACCCCTCTTTCCCAAAGGCAATATCTCATTTGAATAACTCGAAAAAAAAAACCGACAAGTATAAGACTTCGATTGCCCCCTGTTGCCTGACCAACAAGCCAAGCTAAATGCATGCAAAATATTTCCGTCTCGTCTCCAATTTTTGACCAAAAACTTAATTCATTAAATAAATCTTGTTCACAAGATTATCGGTGTTTGTTTCAGCTTCCTTAACTATTAGGGTAATATATATTGATTCACAGTTTTTAGGTTGCCAGTAGACGTCACCATTAGCACGAGAGAGCTTCTTGGGGTTTAAAAACTCTTTAATTACAAGACAATAGTAAAGTTCACTGGACTTCACCTTAAAACACTGGTTGCCTTCCAATCTGCTCCCCACTGTTGGCCACCTATTAACGATGGATTTCAAGCGCATCTCTATCTTAATTAGCTTCTGGCTGATTTTAAGCTATATCTTGTTAGACCACTCTCAAGGATTTGAAAACAGGTTGAGTAGCAGAAGAGTTCGAAGAAAACTTCAGAGACAAGAACAACCAAATCGAAGACATAAACAAAGCGGAAAGGAAATGGCTCTTTCAATGTTCTCGCGGTTCGTGGTATGTAAGTTTGGCTATTAGTGAAAATATACGTGCTGTGTGCTTTTCTGAAAAATTCACTAAGCTCTTATTATTAAAGTTAAGATTACGGAAGAAAGTCGGCAATCATGGGCGAAAAAGATGGATACCGAGTGTTCCAACGAAACTACCAAAATTAATCGTTAAGTGGTAAACTTTTTCTTTAAGTAGTTTGATTGTTTGTTTGTATATTTTGCGTTTTTGTCTTTAAGTGCAACGTCTATTTCTTATCTGCCGCCCTTCCTTTGAGCAGTAAGGTATTTCCAACGCAGTGTTCAGCTCCATGAAAAGCAATCGGATCTCTTCTCTCTTTCAGGCCATCACTCATTTGTAGTGAATGCAGTAACTGTAGTGCTCTGTTATTTCCCTGAGTCATATGGCCTTTGCATTAATGAGGTTGCAGTCAATGAAAATGGCCTGTTAAGTTAATTGTTGGAAACTGAGTGGAAAAGAACCCGGAAAATATTTATGAATGTACAGGTTATTGACTGACTAATTGATGTTTTTAATGTTTCTATTTATTTGATAGAACGCATCCATGAGGCATTCGAATTCTATCAGGCACAGTGCTTCCCAGCAGGTCAAAGTTAAATTGCATAGCAAGTTAAGTGTGAGGACGAAGCAGGCCAATGGCAAGAACAAAACGAGTACGGCGTCCAAAGAGAAAACTTTAAAGCTTAATTAAAGGTAGCATGAACGGCGCCTTGTTAAAATTCGATACGCACTAATCGGTTTGATAGTAAATTACTGTCTAGGTAAAATTAGGGTCTGTTTGGGTCAGTTTTAGGTTTTCTATGAGTCGTTGGAAAGGTCCCTTCCACGTACCGTACAATAAGTTTTTCAGGCATATTGTACCGATAGAGCAGGTTGCTTGTGGACTCAAAAGGTTTTTAGACAGTTGTCTAGTTAATTGGGTATTCATTTGCTTATTTTCCAATTATTTATGTTTGCCTTAAAAGGTATATGTATATTTTGTTTCACTGAATTTGTCGTACAAAGAAGGTACAATTATAGTAGAGTAGAACCCCAGTGACTCTCGAAGTGGGATAACTCAGACTCCTTCGATTATAACTTCAAGCGTTTAATTGGTCTAAACCTGAATAACTTTGGTGAAATTTACATATCCCAAGGGCTAGACTGAGCGTTTCTCTCTCTTGATTATTCTGAGTCTTTTGCGACCTTGCCTATAGTTAACAGTAATGGTTGCCTCTCTCGAACTTCGTACTTTTTATATCGAGGTATGAAAGAGAAATGTCGTTCAGCATCATTCTTAATTATCTAAGCACAGGCGGCCCAAACTCACGTTGCGAGAAAAGGTTGTAATGAACGATTATTCTTTGGTAGTTACTGCGTAGCTAAACACCACAGGGTGCTGTAGAAATTCTACAAGATAAGCCAATCAGATAGCTTGGTTAATTAAAAATATATCTCGACTCATTTCCTGTGGTTGTCAATTAATTCGCGAAGTCAGTGCACCCGGTTATGGCCGCGAAAAAAAATTACAAAGGGCGAAGCCCAAACGTGCAGCGATATCTGGATAGTTGTGGCCGGGATATCGATATATCTGAGATGATAGCCCCAAATCTTGCTGCAGGAGCCAGACTTGCAGCCAAAAATGAAAGCCAAGCTCTGGACGAGAAGACTGCCAGAACCTACGAGCTCCGGCTTATCACACTGGAAGAGTTTGCGAAGAAGAACGGGGATGATGCCGTGCTTTTCGGCTCTAACAAGAGGCCATTCTTAGCAGCGACATTGCAAACGTTCATGCGTAAGTGCTCAGTACTTCAGTAAAGTTTTTGAGACAGTTTAAGCGATCTGCGTTTTGGGCGTCGGTTGCGGCTTTCTTGTCACAGAACCTCGTATTTAACCAGTTGTAATGCGTCAATTTACTGTGTTTGACTGCTTTATTCTGCAGCTTATCGTAATTAACAACGTGTCTTTTTCACTGCTGGGTCGGGCGGATGACGGTCAAATAATCAGTATGTTCTTTTATTTCATTGCCAAAAGATCGTCCGGTCGATGAAGAAAGGTTGGAAAAAGAATGTACCTCTGAATAACTTAACCACAAAATCATGTGAGTCGGAGTATTTGGGTCGGCATTTGTGCTGAATACGGATCGTCCAACAATGCTGAATGGAGTCCCCCTTTCATAAATTGTCATACAGAGCGGTTATTCTTTTTGATCCTTATTCTTTTAATAACGTAAGGCGCTGGCCTGGTTAGTACGCAATAAGCATTTGTGATCTTAGCCTAGTAGCAATAGAGCAAACCGCACTGAATAAACAGTGAGAGGCGCACTAAAATGTGTTGCTCCTGTATGTGCCACAGATTGTGTTATTGCAAAGTATGGTATTTTAAAACGTAAAGGCATGCTTTTGAAACCAGAGTTCGCAATAACGCAAAACATGACGAATGAATGGTAAGTGGTTTGAAATCATCGCAAAATGCGGTTAACCTGAAAAAACCACAGATTGCGTTATTGCAAAATGTGGAATTAAAAGATTAAGAATTTGTCCATGCTTTTGAAACCACAGTTTGCAATAACGCAAAACATGGCGAATGAATACTAAGACATAGTTTGAAATCATCGCAAAATGCGGTCAACCTGAAAAAAAACACAGATTGCGTTTTTGCAAAATGTGGAATTAAAAGTAAAGGCCTTAGTCCATGCTTTTGAAAACCACAGTTCGCAGTATTACCGTGCGGGTCAGTTTTTTTGGCGGGGGAGCGAAATGGGAAATGGCGCGAAGGCCGGGTTACCTTGAAAATCCGAGTCGAGGTCAAAGCAGCCTGTTCCAAGCGTTCAGATAGTGGAGAGCGGTGCGAAGTAAAGATAGTTCCCCACTATCTGAACGCCTGGAACAGGCTAAGGTCAAAGAAGCGTTCGGGATTAAAAGCCTTTGGTTCGGTTTATGGAGAAAAACTGAAGGTTCGAGAAATCGGGATTCTAGTGTATTTGCACGAAAGTGAAATGAATTCATCTTTCGCAAGTCGTTCGTAAGTGTATTCGTAGCTTATGAGCTTGTCTTTTGTGCGTTTGTACCAGTTTTGTCCACAGTGTACAGCATTGTAAGTTTATTCGGTGTTGAATCGAGGCTTGTATATATTCCTTTTCAGAGGTGATGGGGGAAACAAAAGGAAAAAAGATAGGTACCTTACGTTGTCGTGGGTTGAAGCCTCCTGTAATCAGGGGCTATGCCGCCGCGTTCGGTTACTGGTTTAGAACGTTTGGGCACACCGAACAATATAGCGAAGCCATTATCACAGCTGAAGATGGCTCTCAACAGGTTATCCCAAAGGGAAATCCGATGTCTTCGCCTGGTAAGCTATAAAATTACCTTCCTTTTTCTAATTTAATCCAAAAATTTTTTGTTATTTTTTATAACGTTAAGCCTATCTAAGTATGGATTCCTTGTCACACTTTTGCCTCATGGTCAACTCCTTAATTTTGAATATGGTGTGATCAAAACATGCAAAATCACCACCCTTCATCAGTACTATATGTTTTATCATTACAAAATACATTTACCATCACTAACTAACCTTCTCCCCTTTTCAAAAACTAGTCAGAGATTTCAACAGATCTTTTCTTATGGCCAACAACAACAGCTTGTGCTGTCCCGCCTTCCTTGTTTATATTCCCATGGACCATATGCTCTCCCTTGTTTGTAATACCGGCACTAGGACTGAATGACCCAGGATGTCTAGAACTGTACCTAATTCTCCATTTTCAAATATTTATGGCGGTGTTAAGACGTTACCATAAAAGTTAACTAACAACCTTTGTGCAGTGTGAATAATCAGTTTTTGCTAAAACATGAAATAGAAAATTACCTTTGATTGTGTTAGTAGCATTACTTGGTTTTTACTGTTAAAATGTGGGGGCTGGGGGTGCTTTAGCCCCCAGATTGCTTATTTCTTTTAAAAAATCAAAATATTAACGCGATTTAGAAATGAGAAACTTTTGTGAAAGTGGATGTTACTGTAAATTTAAGTTCAGTCCAGCCAAAAACTAATGGAAGAAGCCAATTAAGAACGCATTCGCTTCTTAACACGTTTGGCTGAAAAACCGTGTCTCAGAGTTTTGTCAAGTGCGTTTGTTCTGTTGTTATAAGCAGGTGAAGTTAGGGATAGCAAATCGTTAGCACTACCTGTGAAAAAAATACTTTAACTCGAAAACGAAAAAAGAAATCAAAATTCACAGACACTGTTTTTTAGAAAAACTACCTGACAGTAAGTTGGCCAAATTTCAGCCAAATTGGTGTAGGGGTCGCTGACTTGGAGTTTAAAACGTACCCTCGACTTGCCCTGATTTTCATTTCGAGAAAACAGTGGAAAAAGATTTTTGGTGGTGTATTACCCGTGACGAGATTATAACAGATTATAACACAAAAGCTGTCAATGTTGACGCATACCAGAGAAGAGACAACAATAGTGACACAGCATGAAAAGTTGAAAACGAAACCCGACAACAGATGAACAATTTATTTCAAAGGCTCTGCTCTGTTCGATCCTTTCTGTTGTCGAGAAAGCTTCATTAGTTATTTGCAACGGGCAGTTTTCATTTTCGCACCGAACAAGCCAAGTGGAGCCAAGCGCACTTTTACTCGATACATTTTTTAACAGTTCGGCACTTCCCTGGAAAATTCGACAGCAAACCGCTTCCTGGAGTTTTTCTTGAAGCTTCTTTCCCACAATAGACTTTCAAAACAGTACTTCGTCCGATTGTTATATGGCGCGGGACCTCTCATGACTTTGTCTCTTGCTTGGCTGCTTCGCGGCCTAAAAAGCTCACTCCGCTCGCTAACAAACTCGCGAAACTCGATTTCGCGGTAGTTTCAATGGGTCTGTCATCTTTAAGCCATTCTTCTTGATGGTAGAAGGAGCTCTTATCGCTCTCTGCTAATTTCGAAGCCCAGTCTTTGGCGGCAAAACGATTTTGTCGTCTTCTTTCGTGGAGTCGAGAACGAAAACGGATGAGCTCTTTTTTCTTCTTTGGAGGCATTCACTTTCAAAATCTAGGGAAAAACAGTGAGTACTATACTTGTAAACCACGATTTCTGTCAAATTGCGTGATAAGCTTGGTTCAACAGCGGCACGCGTATCAAGTATGACAGGACTTGTCAACGATCAATTAAAATAATTGGCATAGAAAAAACTTTTGCGCTCCATAATTCTGCACAGAAAAAACGTTTTTTCCTGGATTTTTTTTGAAAGAAAGCTGTTGATGAGCTCTATTTAATAGTCTAAAAATTGCAAATTTCGAAAAATGATGATTTTTTACCCTGGATGATACCTTAATATTGTGATAAGGAAGTTCATCAAGTAATAGATAGACCATAGTGTTAAATTTGAATCATAACCACTGAATTTAATTCAAATCCTAGTTCAATAGAAATTTAATTCAATAACCAAAATATGTTGCTTCATGACAATAGCCCCTGATTTTGCTATGTATATCGTGGCTTGATAATCAATGAAGAAATGCATGCATGAAAATGTGCCTTTAAAAAACTTGTACAAGGTTTTCCTGTCCTTGAAAGATGAGCCAATCTGGTTAGGCATGTGAAGTTTTTGTGAATGAACGATTACTGAAGAACTGTTATCAACTATTTAGTCTTATGTTGATTATAGTAGTTGATGGTCTAATTTTCTTCTTTAAAATTTTAATGCTGTGCATGTTCATTTACAAATTTATTTGATAATTTTTTTGATAATCAACTGGGTTAGGACTGTTGTTATTTAATGTATGTGTAAGTCATCGTTATTGTCATGTCAGTTACTGAGAATAGTCCTCTTAGGACTACACCAAACCAGATTCATCATGCCACAACCTATGACATGATGCCTGAGTGTTCAAACATTAATTTTAGGTTGAATTTATTTCTTTTGTATGCTCAAATGACCACTGGAGGAACTTACCTTGTTCTGATTTTTTTCTCGGTAATAGGATCTCAGGGTTTTACCATCTTACAAGTATGATGCTTGGGCAAATTCTAGCTAATTTATAGCCCTTTCTCCTTTGAGCAATAAATCCTCACAATGAAGGGATTTTGATTGTATTATTTTCATGCTTGTCACTAATTCTGGGATTTTTGGGATTGTGTTTTAGCTGTTACTCAGACCATGAAGCAGCTGGTGAAAAGAGCAAAGAGACCCACTGCTAAGGATACGCGGCATGGGAGAGTGCCTTATGAGCCTAAGAAGGCTCCACCCTTTACAATTCAGCAGATGTTGCGTATGCGTGCATACTGCTTAAATACAATCGAGGTAATTACGACTCAAGTTTAAATCCTCTTGACCCTGCTTGTAAATGGCTAACAGGCTGCCTCCTGCTAGTTAGGGTTCTTTTATTCTATTATGTACCCATTTGCATTTCCTGTGTACTGGTTTAAGGTTATTTTAAGTGGAGGGATGCCTGTAAGTTACAATCGCCTACAAAATTGTTGAGACATTGTACTAACTAAAGATAGGGTAACTTCAGAGAACAAAAGAGTCCAAAAACCTCCCCCCTCCCTTCCATTCAAAGTTTGGGTGTTTGATGTTTTCTATAGCTAGTTTGAACAGCGGCACAACATTGCATGGAGGGGATGGGGGAGGAAAAGCTTTATTCTCTCTTTTTGAAGTCGGTAAAAACTCAAAAAGCCCCTTTTGGTTGAGGTGTCTCAACTGCATTTCCATGTTAAACAAAACATGTATCATTTTACCGCTGATAGATTTTAAAATGACGAAGATAAATTAAAGACCTTGCAGTGAGTTGACTCGATTGAATGTGGCAAGGATCTCTTTCAGCAGAGAGGGAGGTTCATGTTATCCCATGTTTTTCCCTTTTGGAAAATTCTGTTATTTATCTGGTAAGCCAAAGATCTTACTTTAGAAGAACCACAATATAACAAATGGCAATGAGGATGTGTATTAAAATAGTTTTCACGTCTAGTTTAAAAAGGTTTTTAAAGGTTGGTCATATTCATATATTTCACTATTGTTTGTGCAAGGAATTTTGAGGACTTATATAGAGGTTAAATTAAAAGGTACACTACAGGAGGCAAAGAACGTCTGTTTAATTGACTTTGCCATTGTGGAAAGTGATAGCCAAAGTGTACCTAGGGAATGTCATTTCGAGTAGCCAGAAAAATGTAACAGCCAGGATTAATTATGAAAGTAATTTAGTGATCATTTAATTATTTATTTTACCAATAGTTAGCAAATACCTGCATTATTAATTCATTGTAGCTAATAAGCTAATAATTTAACACAAGCTTTTAAAGCCTCTCGAGCCTTAAAGGGAAGGTGTGTTAGAATCAATATTGATTTTACCTGAAGATTCCGCATCTCACACAGCACCTTGTTTGAGATGAAATTCTTACATAAAATGGAAAGGTGTTTTTCCAGGTTTCACTTCATCTGATCTGTTTTAAAACTAGTTTAAAGAATTTGTCAGGTATTTTTATTGCATGTTCACTTCCCTGTAAGGCAAGTTAACAGCAAAATTCATTAGCCTGACGTCAAAATCTGTTTGTCATATTATATTACTTAATGCTTGTTTTATATGCTACCTATTAATTATGATATAACATATTTATATAATTTTTTTTCAGGGATTACGAGGTTTATGGTTGTGGACCATAACTTTGTTCTCTTTTGCTCTGTTCCTAAGAGGGGAGGAACCTCTTCGACTGAAGGTTAAGAACCTGAGGTTACCAGCCAATTTCAATTCAGGTATTGAAAGTTGTATATTCTAGGTTGTCTTTCATAAACAAACAAATGGTTAAAAGTTAACTTCTGTCACCTTTATTTGGCTGTTTTATGTGAACTGGTCACCCTGTATTAGGAAGTCTCCCTCACAGCCGCTTTTGTCTTGACTCATTGAACGTTCCTCCCCAACATATGGCAACTCACACTTGATTCACATTCCTTTCCAATATTGTTTTATCAACCCACAGAAATGACCAATCATTTATTATCAAACTGAAAATGACATCAGTTTACCACATTTTCGTGCCAAGAATGTGCCTGTCCCTGTGATTTCCAGTTTTATCAAAAACCCACAACGGGCCAGGTTCAGTTTTGATTCGTAAACACTGATTGTAGAATCATGGCAAAACTGAAAGACACATTTAGCACTGAAATGGGTGACTTCAAACTGTACAGTGCTTGGCATATAAAAGCTGGATCAACATTTTTTTTTTTGGCAAGAAACAGCTACTTAATATCAGTTTACATGCAGATGCAGATCACATATTGCCTTTTGAAGCATACTGCATTTAAAAGAAAGGAAGAAAACACAAATACTACTCTTAATTAAGTGGAGAGAGACATTAGGCAGATCAGGTATTCAAGTCCTGTAATTAATTTTAAACATCCCAACTAGTTTATTCAGTGATTGCTTGTTAAATTTTCACACTTGGCAGCAAGTGTTAAGTTTTGTCTTTCAAAAAATAATAAAAATAGAATATAATATTATTAATATTTTGTTATTTGTAACAAAATGCAGAATTTTAACTGTTCATGGGAAGTTTCTTTATATTTTGTTAAGAAAACTTAATCTTCAGGAAGTCTCTTGTTGGTAGTTAGTCAATTTCAATCTATTGTTTAGAGTTTTTTAATGGATTGTTGTTCTTGTTTTTTTTTGGAGGGGGAAGGGAGGGAGTGCTGGTTATTCAAGTTGGGCACTTACTTGTTTTTCATACCAACAGCTGGGAGGCTGGGAGAGTGGGTGGTTAATGAAATAATTCGACGTATAGGGGCAGTACATACTGAGGAATCGCTGAATAATCATTATTATACAGATCACTAGGCTAGCTACCAGTAAATGTCTCCTGATTTTTTACTTTTGTCCCATTGCATTTTATTTTATTTTATTTCATAATCTGTAGGGGAGCCAATTACAATTCCAAAACGTATTGAGGTGAAAATACCATGGTCTAAAGCAGATAGAAAGGCAAAAGGTATGTATATTAGTACTTATCGAATTATTTCTTCTTTTGTATGTTGTGTGTAGGGGCACATGCTAACCATCTTCACCTTCTAGCATTATATTTCAACTCACCAATGGCTTGCTCTCAGCTGGCTCAATTATTGCAAACAAGGTTGTGCCAGTTAAGATCCTGATCACCTCTGAATTTTTCAGCTTTCTTTTTCACAACTGTTTAATTGAGTTGTGAACATAACTGCAATGCTAGGGATCTTCACTTGTTAAATCTTTCTTCCACTGTTTCAATATTATGAAGTCCCTACATTCACTTTGGCTTTTTTGTCCCTTTTTTTTTTCTGTTTCAAATTTTCCAACGATACTAACTGGTACAGTGGAACCCTGCTCTCAAATATCTGCTTCATACAGACGCAGACAGTTTTGGTTGTCCTGATGAAACACTCATATGTTGTCTGTAAAAGTAACCTGCTTATGTGCACAGGTTAATATGGACAACTGACACCATTTTCTACCCAAAACACAAAATATAAATTCTCATATTACCTCAACCTTGCTTTATGGACACAGGTCATTTGCGAACTATGTGTGATTAATTTTCTTACCAGTGCAGTGTGCAAAGGAAGTAGTGTCCGATAGCCCTGAGGCTAGTGAATTTTGCCATTGGGCTGCCAAATTCTGTTCCTAACTTGCCCGATGGGGAAGTGAAGTATTTCGGGAATTCAAATTACAGAAGAACTGTGAAATCAATTCTGCTCATCAAAACGTTTTGGGGCCTAATTGAAATAACGTTTGGGCTAGCACATGCTTAACCTGCATCTTGCCCAAATGGTAAGCTGTAAAACTGAGTTTCTTTGCATCCTTTGAGTGACAGTCCCCTTCAATGTGGACACCTAAATTAATAATACCGGTGGCATATCCTCTTGGTGTCCATATCAAACAGGTGGTACTGTATTACTCTCTTTTGGTGGAAGGGTTCATACTGAAGGACTCACTTTTTTAAAGGCCCGTTGTGGTATTAAATTTCAAAACATTTGATTTCAGGAGTTACACTTACCCTGTGGAGCAACCCATTATGTAAGGAGTTGTGTCCTGTGAGAGCCATCATTGCTTGGTTACTTGTAGCAGGTTTGTGATTTCAAATCTAAATGCTTCTTGTGGCCACTTTCATAAGCGTCCAGCTCTAGTTATAACCTTTTACTATAGTGATCAACCCTGCTCACACATCACAGATAGGTTCAGACTCATCTGCATAACCATCATAATATCCAATTCCAGTAATTACCAAGTAGACATTTTCTTTGCTTTCAGCTCGCTATTTCTGCCCACCTTGCAAACTCATGCATCAGGAGTAACATATTATCTATATGAGCTTGATATTCTAGATAAGTTAGAGGTTGTTTTGAATTGGATGAAGTTGTTAAGTTTGTGTTGCAAGGTGCATTTAATTATTTATATGTATATATAAATTATGTTGGACCTTATGTATGATTTTGTTATCCTTTGTAACTTTCAAGATATTCGTAGTGGTTACCTCTTCCCAAGGATTTGCAAAAACAACCTTACATCTTTGCGAAACAGTGCTCGTGGTGTTACCACCTACAGGAAAACATTTGTTGAGGTATAAATAAATAATAATTTTGATATATATAAAAATTTACTGAAAATCTGCTTCTGCCACCGCTTGCTGCTTGAGTTGGGTGTATTTGTAGACACCCGTAACAGACAGGTATCAGGTAGAGATAGTTGAATTCTCATGCTTTTAATTGCTTCAATGTCAATCTCATTTTTTCAAGATGTCCAAGGCTCTCTTTGAGAAGGAATTCACCACCCACAGCATACGAAGATCAGCAGCTCGATGGGCAGCCCATTGTGGGGCAGATGATAGTACTATCAAAAGGGCGGGAAGATGGTAAGTATTTTCTTTTGTCCCCAAACAGGACAACAACAAATTTCATTTTTAAGTAACCATAACTTTGTGAGGTTAAGGGTGTGGTACATTCATGGGGCAATTGTCTCGCGCTTATCTAAATATTCTGAAATGTTTCTTTCAGAGACTCTGCAATATTTTCATATTGATAGACTATAGTGCACATATGCATGTAATATTATACTGATAGAACTGTCCATGTATTTATTTATTTATTATGCATTGGAAAAGGAGGGTTTTATAATCAGTTTTGATTTTTCACAGTTTCCACAGAAACTGTATTTAACATCATTTCATGTAAGTAAGTAAGAAAACTGAGCGATGGTTAGGTTCAAAACAAAGAGATTCTATTGCGCTTCAGTAAAATCCAACTAGTGGTCTATTATCAATGCTGCGTTCTGATTGGTTGAGCTACTACTAGGCTATATGTTATAGCCCACTAGTAGCGAAAAGCGCCGCCTTTTTGGCAGCAAAAAAGGATTAAAGTATAGCTTTAAGTAGCTAAAATTTTTTTATTCTCGATACTCTTGAGCAACTAGTCAGATTTTACTAAAACAATTATTCCTCTCGCCCTCATGGCCTCTGAGTCAATAGCCCATTCGGGCTCGAGGAATAATTGTAACTAGTCGTTGCTTGTCGTTAAATCACTTAATTCCCGCAGCAAGCCGATAAAATCGCAGGTTTCCAGGCTTCACAAACTTTGAACACGTGCTCTCTCTAGAGAGCTGTTTTTTGAATGTAGCTATCAAGTCAATTTGAACAAGCTTAAAGGGGAAATGCTTATCGGATCGGCTGATGAATGGCTACTGTGGGCAGTCAGTGGGAGAAAAAAAATGGCACTGCCTTCTATTCGGTGCAGTTTACTAGGTCATCGACTCATTCACTTGTTTCATGGAAATATGTGTACATATACTGAAAGTGTAATAGTTTTGACTTAAACAACTAAATCTAACATTGTTTCATTTTAGGAAATCCAGTGCTTTCGAATTGTACACTCAGGATGCCAGAGCCGAAATTATTAAAGAACAACACGATGGCAATGTGCTGTTTGATCATAAATTGTGGATGTTTAAACCTTTACGATAGTATCAAGCAATCAAGTCTAGAGTTTCTTAACCTCCTCTGGAAGCAGCTCAGTTTTCCCGTCTTTTTTTTTTATAGAGAATCTAAATAAGTCAATCCTGTGTGGACTAAATGAAAACATGTGTTTGACAAATGCGCAGTCGGCTGCCGAAAAGAACCGTTAGTCATGCAATTGACCAGGATTTCCTATACGGACAAACCAAGGATGGTCCTAAATGATTTTTCTTATGTTGTTTATTCTAGCCCCCAAGAAATGTCGTGTTGTACATTTGTGTTACACACGAAACGATGGTGATCCTAAATGAAACTTCACAAAATTTTAGACAGAATTATTAACAGAATTAAGTCTAGTGCGTAGCTCGGAAAGGTTTAACTAGGAAATATAAGTTACGGAAACATTTTAATTTTTTTCTGCCAATAAAGCCGCGATGTAGGGTAAGGGTAGCCTGAATTTCATCCGATTGCTTCTTGTCTGAGGGAGTAAAACTACTCGAAATAATCGGATGAAATTCAGGCTAAGGTAAGGAAGGGTAAGTCTTAAAGCCTAGTCCTTCAAGATTTTTGAAAGCACAGTTTAACGTGATCAAACCTGTACGAAGGCATAAGCTCGCTTGTTTTACTTGAGAATTATTAGTCAAATTTTATTTATAATATAAGAGGGAAAAGCTGGTAGGAAATGAAAACATACTAACCGAAAAAAAAAAAAGAAATAAAGAGCGGAAGTAATCAATTTATTAATGCATAAAAGTGGTGTTTGTTTAACCTGGATAAGGGTAACTGCAAGTGCAGAACTGCAAATCTAGCGGACAAAATTCAGCCTACAACTACGTAATCTAGATTGTTGCAAACAATAGAAAACACAACGAAAGGGAAACCGAGCAAATCCTTTTACAAATTTTATAAAAGCCAGATTGACAATCACAGAACGTTTCATTCTTGGGATCTCACTTTCATGATCACTTCATGGTGAAACTTTGGGTATATTCTCTTTCGAGTTTTTCCGGGCTGATTTGCTTGTTTCCCCTGTTTTTTCTTTTTCTTCCTTTGTTTAGATAATAGAATTCACTCTTTAGTCCCTCTCTGGAGGAGCTCATGGTGGCCCATATTATAAAAGGAGAATTCATCCCCTGTCGCTTTCGCTCCTTTTCTAAACAATGTCGTGAATGAAGCCACTACATCTGGATCTGAAAAAAAAAATCCGCGTTGTGGTGCGTATCGAAAAGGGGCTGAACCGGTTAGGAGTTGGCGTCCATCATTGTCGGGAGTGTTCGACAAAGATAAAAGACTAACCTGTTGTTGAACGTTAAACCCCATGGCAAGATAAAAGTAAGATCGAACCACCAAGTGTGATTACCTCCGACGTCAATGATTACCTCCCAAAAGTGTGATTATTTATCGAAAAGACCCTGAAAAATTTCCGAATCAAACCAGTTTATTTGGAAATGGCCACCTCTTTGAATTATGTTTGTAGAATTTTCCATTGTTTATCTCCCTATAAGCGACCATTCAGGAATAGTTTGATCTCTACGTTCGCTGTATGTACTACACGACTCAGAGTATGAGAACGTTTCGTGACAAGAAGAAACTACGCATATCATATAGTATAAATTGCATGCAATGAATTCTACTCCATTGATTGTCTCAAAACCCAAAACATGGCTCGTTGCACCACAGGTGTTGGATTGCTAAAAGCTAAGCCTCGTTCTCCTCACTTCGTTCACGTGTACTTCCAGGTACGAAGTATACCGTGTTTTTCTTGATTTTGATATCAAACACGAGTTGTAGCATATTTTTGGCATATTGGAAGATTTATCTCGAGTAACTTGGTATTCCACTAACACCCGTGGCCGACCATGAAAGATATGCTTATACAAAAGCCCTAGCCTGTACATAGGCATTGTTTTACCTTTCTTTTCGTTCTTTTCGAATCGATGAGCACGAAAGAGCGTGCGCATAGCGCGAGAAAATTCTCGCACCCCCAACCCTTGCGCTGGCGGTCAATAGATCCTCCACGGTTTTTATTTTTTATCACGCGCACTTTACGGACTTCGAAGAGAAAAGACAGAGTCTGTGAAAAGGCTACACAAGCAATTAATCCAGAGAGAAAATCACCCATTTTAAGCCTACTAAACTGCTTTTTCACAGACTAATTTATTTTTTTGCATACTGCTAACTTAAGAATACAAAATATTACACTTTCTCATTAAACTGGCAGTTGACTACCGTATTTCCTCAAATAATAGCCATCCTTCGATTAATCGACTCCCTCTAATAATCGCCCACCACCCACCCCCTCTCGTAGTCTTCTCTTTCTTTTTTCCCCTCTCTGTCAAGTTGAAGTGGGAACTATTCAAGCTCTGAACAAGGAGCCAAATTTGAACACTTAAAAAGCCCATGTTCAGTATATTTGATGTGATAATTTTTTGATTTAAAGAGATAATAGAACAAAATATTTATGGCACGACTTCCAGTGAACAATATTAATCGCATTCCCTCTAATAATCGCCCCCCGTTTTGAGGCGAAAAAAGGCAAATAATGGCCCCCGCTATTATTCCAGGAAATACGGTAAGTGGTCTCTATTATATATTTGCAGACGACATCTTATGACATTTGACTGTTAAAATTGGTACGAAAACCATTCTAAACATAAAGTTCCCGTTTAAATGCTGTTGCATAAAAACATGACGTTGTGATGAAAAGGGGAAGAGAAGCCATGTGAGATTTCTGATCATCAGTTAGATTCTCATTCCAGATTGAGTCTTCTCATAAGAAAGAGGGAAGAATTTGCGATTTATCAAAGTCACTTGGGCTTTATTCCATACACACCTTCAATTATTATTTGTTATCATTTTTACAATTATTCTGACCTTAGTCTCGGTGTGCTACATTTTTTCTTCCACAAAACAATTCCTGATTTTTTTTTTTCAAATAGTAAAAATAGCCGTAGATTTGATTCCTCTTTGTTTTCCCAATTCAGACCACGTGATGGTAAGACTTTTTGTATGCATACATACGCCCTTGGATAGGGCGAAATGTGTTTGAAGAAACAGTGATCACCATCCATTCGAATTCATACCAACACGCAGTCTGAAATGAGAAGACGTCACATGCTAAAAGGTTTCCAAGTACCGAATTGAGGGTCATCCTCGGTGTAAAGCTGCGAAGGTTTTCGTTGTTTTCTAGCCATTATTCCTTGGCTCTATTGTGTTGACTTCTCAGTGACTTCTTAATATTGTTTTTTGTCACTCATTAGTTTCACAGGTTTTACACTGACTATGACGCGAACTGACTGTGACATTTTTTAAACTGTAACTTCGACTTAAATTTATAAGAAGGTGCAAACGAATATTAAGAGCNTTTTTTAACGAAATTAAAGGTGGTACTGAGCGTACAGGCGTTCAACGCTTTGGGACAAGGTATGTTGAAATTAATGCAGTAAAGGATAATTTTAACTTCTTCTTCATAGGACATCAATGCCCTTGCTGTGGACATTTCCATCGGCATATCCTCGTTTAATTCCTCCATGCAATTTGTACAAGGAATTCCACAGTTAAAACAGACTGGAATGTTGGTGTTCCACGTCACAGTCATCGGTTCATTATCCGCGAAAGGCGTTGCTGTGTCTGGAAGACAAGGCCTCTTCCGTCGCCATTGATCCTGGCACCAGTGAATCATTTTGTCAGTTGCTTGTTCCCCAAACGACCAATTTCCAGTAGCTTGTTTGGCTTCCGTCTCAAGAATTTTTTGTTTCAAGTGATTGAATGCTTGAAACTCGAGCAGTTTGCAGATAAAATTGGCGACCACCTTGTGCATTCCAAACGTAAACTTAACATGATCAGGTTGCCCGGTTCTAAGGCGCTTACTCTTCTGGCCAGACATGAGCAGAAACTGCCACACAGCGATGTCATAAAGAGGACGCAAAAATGCAAGTGGATTGCTCGACGGCATTTTGTCGGAATAAAGGTTTATTTTAATTAATGTTAATTTTCAAATTTTTTCGACGCACGTGTAACAGAACCGGATTTCCGGATAAATTCCATATTTGGATGTGATATGTTTTTGTACCAATCAAAAGACAACCAACAAGGTATTGAACGCCAGGAAAGATCGAGCAGTGATCGAACCACGATGGCGGCGTGTTCTTCAACTTCGTGCCAGAAATCTTCTAAAAAGCGACTCCCAAATAGCGTATCTGATTTACTAGATGTCGCTATATTTACCTTTGCCTGCCAGACAGGACTGAGAAGTTACCACAAGATTCGTGGGAATCCAGTCCTGGAAGGCGTATGTGCCTTCTTTGGTCAACTCTTACAAACGGCAAACGAGGAGACGAAGCAAGAATTGCGAGAAATCTCCGCCAAGAGATTAGGCGAATGGCAACCTGGCAATGTGCCGACGCCTCAGCTTTTAACGTTTGTATCCTCGCGGATAAAAGCGTTAAAGGAGAAGCAAATTATTAAAGAAAACACCAACCCTGAGGTACCGGCTCTACTTGTCGAAAAGAAGGAGAAGTTTGATGAGGAACAGGACAGAGTGCGGACCAGAACGTTGCCCAGGTGCTGGCGTTGTCAAAGTCGATGCCAATTTTGTTTGAAGCGGAAACGTCAATTCCCAACATTCGGAAACTTCAGAGCCGAGAAAGTTGCATACACATTTGCATCAGTACATGTCCAAAAAAAGTGCTTGCACATGCAGGGACAGTGGCGAGGGTGGGGTGGGTGAGGATTCACGCACTGATCATGTAGACACACTTTCAGGGACCATTTGAGTTTGAGGGCCCGGGATTATAATTAATGGGTGATTTTCAGGGCCCAAAAAATAACTTAATTTGCAAGGATTTTTTGGAGATTTCATAAAAATACTATTTTTTACTTTTAATATTTTTGGCTGTTATTTTCCATTGGATTTGTCTGCTAATTCTCAATTAATAATTGGCTTGCTGCACTGTAAGAATTTTAAACAAATCAGTGGCTGGTCATGCAAAGATTTGTTCTGCCTTAGGTTACTTTGAATTATTTACCCGAGTGTTTCATGGGAATCTTTTTGAGAGTCTATGTGGCCAGATTGTAGGTGAAATATAGAGTAACAAATGGCAAAATCCCTTTTTTTTTTCTCAAGCACGTCAACTCATATAGTCTCATTCACAGCCATTATTAGGTTCATCATGCAATGCTCCTCCTCGCTAGAGGATTTCAAATATCTCTTTAAGAAATTACAAATCCTCCCCGTTCCAGCCACAGAAAAATTTTGTGTGGTAAAATGAACAATTTACACATGATTCAGGGTATTATAGTTGTAATTAACTATTCCTGAATACCTTAATTTTCTTTTTCTTTCAAATATCATTATGACGTCATGTTTCACGTGACCACATCAGTTCAGTTCTAATCAATTCAATGCCTGAAAGGAAAAAATCCCGAACATTTTTTCAACCTTTAGAATTAACCCTTTCAGCCCCGAGATCCAAATACAAATTCTCCAGTCTGATCTCCATACATTTCTTTTAAGAATAGTTGAGAGAATTTGGTTTAAGATCAAAGCATTCTTCCTTTGGTAATCAATTTAGTAATTCTTATAACCTTTACTCCTGATGATCTGCTGATATAGTTAGGAGAAAATAATTATTCATGTTGGACACTCTTGGGACCTAAAGGGTTAAAATGCGTGGCTGTAGAAGAAAAACAGCTTCTTCCTTAATTAACATNATGTTGAAGAATCTAGCAAAGTTTTATAATGATTATCCATCATAAAATTACTCCTGCAGCATGGCATCACCGTTCATGGAGGTCTTGGAAAAGATGTTGGATGAGAATGAAGATGATCATGATAATAGTGATGAAGAACAAAACATGGATGAGGACCAATCAGGTGATGCAGGGGAATGTACTGATGGCGGTGATCAAGACTACAGAAACCTCGTGCAATCAGACATTGATTTTCCAGATGATGATGATCAGTCTGATCAAGATGGAAGTCATGATGAGATCGAATCGAGCCAGTGAAAGTGAGGACCTGTTCTCTGGGTCTGATGAAGACTGAGTTTGTTTTGAACTGCACTAGTTTTTAAAGCATATTCCACGAGAATTGATAAATGGAAATTTTTCGTAGTATTTTAATCTGCAATAACTCTCATTTCAAGTAAAGTGTGTAAATCCCCCTGATTATCTATTTCTATTTCATGTTTCTTGATTTGTTTGTTTTCTTATTTCATAACAACAAAGTTGTACTTATGAAAACAGGTGGCAATATAGGAGTTAATGTTGATCAGCAGTTGGAGCAAAAATTTTTTCCCTGTGAATAATAGGATAGGATATAAATATTAGCTTAATTAATGTGCAATTATTATATATGATTTTACTGGATATACATGAGAGTAGTCATCATGATCCTGAAACTGAAAGCGAAATCTTAGTTCAATATAGTGTATGCAATCAGCATTTATTTTTAGGCTCTCAAAACATTTATTCCGAGCACCTAGCCTAAGCCTCTGGAAAACTAGTAAACATTGTTGCAATTAATTTTATTATGAATGAGATTGTTAAAAAAAAATTAAAAGGCTACCTTAAGTAAGCTATGAAAGAGTTAAATGTTAGCTCTTCAAAAAAATTTATTAAAATTTAAGGTACAATCAATTTAAGGAGATGTTTTTTGTTCAGTCAACAGGAATGCACAAGAGGTTTAATAGATAAGATAATAAAATAATTAAACTTATTTGGAATAATAAGATCTACTTTTAATTTTTTCGTAGATTCCCTCGCCTGTTTATCTCACAATGATTTATTACACCAACTTTTTTCATCCCCCTTAAGAATGTTCTGGCAAAATTATTGAGTTAACTGCATTAACAGTGAAGCAAACAGCTCCTTCTATTTATGGCAGATATCAACAACGGCAGCAGCAGTAACTTTGTTTCTCAATTAAGGCCCAAATGTGTAGTTCTAGAGAATATCTCCTCTCCTACAGTCAGCTCGAGGGTATTGTAAATTCCAAGGGGAAGGAAAGGTGCAAAAGGAGTCAATTTCCAAGGTGATGGGGGTGGCTTCTCAAGGTCTTTTTTCCAGCGACTCCGAGTAAGATTGCAGAGTAATAATTATTAATTGTCGAACCCCATTAATACGGTCACCAATGGGCCAAAAAAATTGGGCCGTATTAACGGGTGACTGTTTTAACGAGGGTTCTTTTTACAAGAAAATGTATGGCTGTTGTGCCTGGAGGGCAAAAAAGTGGCCTTAATGTTAAACGAGGTGGTTAAAAGGCGGGGTTCCACTGCAACAGCTGCTTTGTTGAGCAGGCTATGAATTATGTTACATTAAACGGGCTATAAGACAAGGATATTATAACGGCTGAATGTTTCTTTTCATGGCTTATGTGGTAGATATTTGTCATGGCTCATTAATAAATTCCCGGCTATCTGGCTGTTGCTGTGTTACACGATATTTTTTGGTATCCCCTGTAATGTGGTACGTGTGTGTTCAAAGCCTTTCTCTAACATGTCTAACTGAAAGGGATTCATAAAGTGTGTTAAGTTTGATTTTAAGGAACTTGACTGGGTAATGTTTTCCAGAAGGCGAGGTTATCAAATTCCCCCACCCGTCGGGATATTGTTTTACGTTTACGTCAAATTTAATACAGTCAACTCCCCCAGGGTTACCTCCCCCCCCTCCGTCTCCCTGGGGCTAAAAGTGATTCCAAAGAAGCAGTCATTACACCATGCCACAAACCAACATTTGTCGGATTCCCTTACCGGGGCGAGGCATTTGTTTGTTTGAATTTTTAGAAAAGCTGTTATTGTCCCACAGTGGGGTTAAAAAAGGCTGTGCAAATGCCCAACCCCGGGGAATTATTACACACGACTCTGTTTAGGTGTAGGTGATCCAGCCAGACAAAAATTAAGCTAGCGATCTTTGTTTTCCTCTCTATCTAAACTGGCATATAAACCGCTTCTAGAATATTTGACTGAAATGCCCCATCCCAGCAGGGCAGAGAGATTTAGAGTCCCGTTTAAGGGAAAAACGGCAAACGACAGATTCTGGTTGATAATTGCTCGAATAGATATTAAGCAGATAAAAAGAGCTGAAATCAATTCTTGTGGATAAAACTGCCTTGAAACAACTTGATAGACTATCTATAGAAATGTGAAACTTTGTCATGTGGTACAAATTCACTTTGCCGACATTTGCCATCATTTGGAATTGATTGAGATTACTAAAGAAATTCCGCTCTGCGGACACCCAAACCTTGATATGAAGAAATCGCCCCTTGATAGTCTCCTCTTTGTAGACAGGGTGGTACACCTGTGCAAAAAATTTTAATTGAAAGCCCTTTTTTGAACCCTTGACTCGACAACCGATTTCCATACCCTTTTTATAACCCTAAAATCATGAAAGCCCCACCCTTTTTTATTACTGAAGATTGAAAAAGGTTCCCTTTTGGACACCACGACAGGGAACGACCCTCGCTCATTGACATCGATCTAGGATAGCATGTCCTCCGTGTACCCGTATTAAAGGACTCGTAAAGTGGAGCCCCGTTTTTACTGACACGAGAGGGACATGCTAGATGATAAAGTGCCTGTATTATCTACGTTTCTGCATTAAGTGGGCCGATCGAGGACAAAATTTATCACCTTTTAATTTTATTATTCTTTTATTATATTACAAAACTTTCCATTACAAGCAGATATGCTGGCGTCACACTGGCGGGGTGACCGGCGCTGTATAGCGGATTCGCCGTTCATAAAATTGTATTTTGCGGTTGCGATTTGAACCATATATTTCCGAACATATTTAACGCCAAATATGGGATTCTGGTATGGGACACATTTCGCAATGACTCAAACTGTGTCGCAAAGATAAAAGCCATATTTTGCGGTGATATTTTCAACGCGAAGTGTGGTATTCTTGCCTGAACCGCAGTTTGCTATGATGCAAACTGTGACTTTAAAATAAGCAACAGAATGCAATACATCAAAATATGGTGTCATCAACGTGAACTGACGTCCACATTCTTTCAAGACAAGAATATTGCTCTACAGTGGCCGTTTTAGAGTCTGGATGACTAACGTCTGATTAGATCAGGGTTTGCGCTACCTCAAAATATGGTATATTTGTAAGACCACATTTTGAAATGTCTCAATCTTTGTCTCATTGGTGAAAGCCATATTTTACAATCAACTCAAAATGTGGAATTTACTATAAACGTATTTCGCAATAGCATCTTAAGCGCCAACACAGCTAAGCACGTTTTCTTTCTTACCTTTACCGGCCTTACTTTCATCCAGGTGGCGATTACAGATTCTAACGCTGTTATTGACTTCAAAGTCCAATCAACTTTGAAAGAATAAATGCCTGTAGATTTCCAAAGATACTTGCGATTTTTAATCATGAGCGCCACTACAGCCTAATATATGGTCAATGCTGGATTTTGAAACCACAGTTTGCAATAACGCAAAACATGGCGAATGAATACTAAGACATGGTTTGAAATCATCGCAAAATGCGGTTAACCTAAAAAAACACAGTTTGCGTTATTGCAAAATGTGGAATTAAAAGTAAAGGCCTTAGTCCATGCTTTTGAAACCACAGTTTGCAATAACGCAAAACATGGCGAATGAATACTAAGACATGGTTTGAAATCATCGCAAAATGCAGTTAACCTGAAAAAACCAAAATGTCCTTCTAAACTCTTAGGAAGATAAAATGAAATAGCTTCTGGGCTTGACTTGCCAAAATTAAACTGCGAAAGGACGCTTGCTTCGTCTACCCACCCCGCTCTATTCTTACTTATACTGATAGACATTCAGAGTCATTTTCTAAACGTCAACTAAAATATTACACTCCCAGAATCAGGGAGACCGGTTACCTTGCCTAAACTAAGTTTAAACAGTAATAATAATAAATAAAATACAACAACAACTTAGGTACCTCTGTAGCAATTTGGAACGAAACATTTTATTGCATGCATATTGTTCAAGTTAAATATCATTTTATATACTGGCAAAAAATATTAAGGTACCCTGATGACGGGTATTTTTATAAGCAAGACTGCCGCCTCTAGGACTATTTTGTTTGTGAAATCATACATTGATTGTATAAAGTCAGAGTCATCATTGATCTTTTTAACTCGACAAGCTTACCTAATTCACCCTTTTCTTCCAGGTTACAAACTTGAACAATCTTTACAAACATGCTTTACTATCTTTGCAAACACGAGGTTTTAAGGGACAATAACTTCTTCATCACTTTTTTTGTCCGTATTTTCTGCAAAGCAAGGATTGATAACGCTGACTTCAAGTACAACAGTTCACAAATTTCTCTCTTAATTGTAACTACGTAAGAGTCTGTGCACGGTGGACACGTTGGCGAATAATTGCATGAAAATGAATTTTTTTTTGCCAGATGAAAATCGTCTCTTCATTTACTCCTCCAACCACCCTGCGAGCGGAGGCTACATTTTCACTGTGTAAGCTGGCATGCGAAAAGTAGCCTCTGCCGACAACCGTTCAAATCCGTCCAGAAATCTGGACGAATAAATTAAAAAATACGGGTTTTTTTCCTATTCTTGACCGGTTTTGCGCGAGTCTTGCGTACCAGATCAGAGTTGTCGTGATTTTTTTTATTTCCGCGAAACTCGCGACATTTGACGACAGACCTGACGATTAATTTTCCTTGCGCGGAATAGCGTGACGAATTTCGCACATGCACGATAGAAAATTGAACGGTTGTCGGCAGAGGCTACTTAAATGCGCAAACACTTAAATAACTTTTTTTGTCATTGCTAGCAAAGCATAAAATATCACAAGATTTGCTATACACAACAAAGCTTAAACAAGGTTTAAATGTATTTTCTTATTAAAACTGCTAAGTTCCTTTGAATTCTTTCTAGGTGCGAGTGGGGCATTAGTGTCGTCCAAGTCGGTCTGTAATCATTCTCGTGATTAAACAAACCAGAAAGGAACTGGAATCCACACTATTACCATCCTTAATCAGAGCCCGTATGAAAGTCGAGATTTGGTTTCTTTTGCCGGGAAAATTATTTCATTTGTTCCTGTGTTCGCAAAGCCTGATATAAACACTCAAGAGGTTGGGGAATTCTCAAAAGTTAGACAAAACCGAGAATTCAACTAAATGAAGGCCAGGGGCGCGTTTATCGAAAGGTCCGGTAACTTTTCGGGCCCGAAGGCAAATATTAAACACAGCACTTTTGTTCACACTTTACTTTGTAATGAACATTTCTTTTACTTCCGAGAATATCACCAACACTCTCTCGTGTTCATATCAGGTTTGTTATGTGTGGGAATTTTATAAATAAATAGCTAAAAGTATCACTTTTGTTTCGTGTTTAAAAGTTTGTAAAGTTTACCAGGTTTAAGTTCATTATACTGCGCACGAATGCTGTTAACGTCAAACCCATGCCGTTGAAAAAGTGTGTAAATAAATTTACGTTGACTGTACACGGAAGTATTTTGTCCTTTGCCTGACTTGTAATTCCTCATAAGTACGGTCCAATCTTTCAATGGTGGGCAATTTGGACCTCCAACCTCCCAAATCTCCTTGACTTGATCAAGACTTTCAACATTTCTGGGAATTTTTAAGGTATTTAGCCAATCAGTACAGGATTGTCCAGGAAAACCATACTTGGCATGCATGCCAAGAGTCGCAGGATCCACTATCATAAGAGAGCTGGGTGGTGGCATTGTACTTTGTCCGGGTGGAGGCTGGTTAACGGCTGTAGAAGACAGTGACAGAGAAGTACTTGACGAAGATGGTTGGCAAAGAGGTAACTGACGAGAGACTGGAACAGGAGAATCTTGATAGACTGGCGGACAGGCAGTGGGTAAAGAACTGTGGACAGCTGGTGTGCAGGCAAACGAGGAAGGAGGCTGACGCTCACTTGCAAACGATGAAACTTGTTGGAAAAATGATGGTGTAACTTGTATGGGTGCAGAGATGACTGAGAGAGGTTGAGGATGCCGAGAAAACTGAGATTGCACACAGGAAGAAGAGGAAAGAGCAGGTTGACCAGAGAATGAATACATTGTTGGGGGTTGTCCAGATAATGTAGAGGACAAGAGTGGTGATGATGAATAGAAAGATGGAGACACTGTACAGGAAGCGTTGGAGGAAACTGTAGAACATGGAAGGGAATTCTGCTGAAACTGCAGAGAAACGGAGACGGGAGGTTGATGATCTATAACTGAGCTTGGAGCCTGCTGATGATATGAGGAATAAGGAAGGTGATCTTGTAGTACAGATGACGTTGGAACATTTGATGATGAGGCAGGTCGGGGTTGACTGGATGATGTTGTTGTAAACATAGAAGGTAACACTGATGCAGAAGAAGATGAGGAGGACAATGTAGAAGACGTCGATGGTTCCAATGTTGATGAAGGCATTGTAGTTACGGGATGCACCACATTGCGTTCATCCATAATTGTCATGAAAAGGGATGACCAATAACAAATTTGGCGGGCAGCATTCAGTGCTGAACTGCACGCTGTTCCATCAGGAGTGTCCGGAGAAGCCTGAAATGCCATCATCTGTGAGGACACTTCCCTCAAGGAATTAATGACCGGCAAAGGGCGGAATTGCGTTGGCCGGTCATTTCTGGTATCAGTGTTGATACTTGTAGCTGTTTCAGCTAAAATCTCGTCATACTGTTTGACCACTCTCGAAGCTGACAGTGGGCCATCAATTTCCAGGATCTCTTTCATTTTTGCTGAATCCCTCAGCTTGGCCAAGTACTCTACGAACTCACTATCCTGGGAAAATAATAGAAAAAATTGACACTGAATGATTTAAGGTTGAGGTAAGAGAGAATTGGCAGCTTAAGATCCGGCGACGGCGGGTGTCAACAAAAGACTTTGTCGAGGGAGATTGGGGAGAGGTCGTCGTCACAATGGCTATTACAATATTCTGAAATGCTTGCTTTGTGGAAGTTATGCGTGGAATTGGTGACACTTCAAACAATTGATAAAAAACAAGCACATGTCACAGAAATTAAATTTCCGTTTAACTACAACCTCGAAAAATTCACGTCCCAAAGGACACCCTAAGATTCCCAACCTCGAAAAATTCACATGTCCCAAAGGACACCCTAAGATTCCCTCTCTGTCCTTTGGTTGAAGCCAACCCTACATCATTGTATCAGAAATGTTTATCTCTAAAAAATAAAGATATTAATTTCAAAGCTTATCTACATGTGGAACTGTGTGAACAATGAGCCTGGATGTACACCTGTAAGTGGTGTAGTCAATTCTTTTATCTCGGGTAACTTGTTCTTTTGTATCAGCTTCATTAGCATACATTACAATACCCAAAAAATAGGTGAAATAAAAAATCAACTTCAACATATTCGTGTAAGGTTAAGAGCAATTAACTTGGATTCACTGATGGCAGTGCTTTAAAATTGTTCTAAACAGCACTTTTGGGGAACAAACACGCTCACGCTGTACTTATTTACATGTGAGATAGACGCCGACTTAGCAGCCATGCCTTTTTTTCTTGTAGCAAAGTGACGTCAGTGTAGAAATCCTACCAACTACAAGCACCATATATGGTGCCCCGGAAAAATTAATAATTCTGTTACGCTTTTCGCGGTACGTCCTATAATGTAATTTACACAACATAGGTGAAGCGCCGGTGTCGCGTTACAGGCGACCGTTTAGCCTGCAGTGCAGGCGTTTTCTTGAGCCCGAAATTTGCTCGCGAAAGTGCCATGTTGAAACTTCCCGAAGAGAGGAAGAGATGGGGCGAGTCAAAGGGAGCGGGGAGGGGGCGGGGAGAGAGAAAAGAGTAATAGCGGTTACGCAATAAAGCCAAAAAAACAGTAAAACGACAAACAGACACCAAAACGCAGTGGAATAGATTGCAGGTAAGACTTTTTTATTCATTTCATTTAAGAAAAAGTAAGGTTTAGCGTTATTTAGCGTTCGCAGATCTCAGAAATATATTTCTCATACAAAGTCTCTTATATTTTCAACGGTCGCCTGTAACGCGACACCGGCGCGTCACCTGTGTTATGTAAATTACATTACAACCCTTTTCTCGCAACGTGAGTTTGGGCCGCGTGTGATCTAAGGTATTTCACTGGGCTCATCTCACGGTCGCTCTGCAAGTTAATTTTTTGATCTCCTTCAATTCTTGATATCCTGCTTGAACAAAGCATAGGCCAAGGAGTTTACAGCAGAGTTCAAAACTACTGGAAAAACAGCTATTCTGCAAATATAGCCATCGAATTCATCAGTTATGAATTTTGTAGTACAACGGGTATGAAGTGCACAATAAATAACTGAAACAAGGCTACGACAATGTTTATCATAATCAATACTGAATACTCGCGGCGGTTATTGAACGGTACCTGTCTCAGGGTATGTGCGGCATTGTGTTTCTTTTAAATTACCCGTAACATTGATGCAAGACAAAAAAAATGTCAGTCATGGGAATGCACGTAAAATGATAACAACTAGCAGTCGGAAGGTATCGAAGACAAACGGTCCGCTGTTGGGGTAACTGCGACCGATCACTTCTATCAAAAACAACGGGTAAGGTGACAAGAATGTCCGCCGCTTCCAGCCGCTAGCTGTCTTTCCTTGAAGTTTACCCCTAACTTTTTTCGTTTGTTATTAATAATTGCGTTCGAGGTACGAGAACGCAATCCCTAATTTGTGTTGGGTGCTCTGTGGATTATTGGGATCCCTGTGTAATGAATAAGAGAGGTTTTTTCGAGATTGCATTTGTCGTCGTCGTCGACACACATTTGCCTCATTTGCCTCGCTTTGAGGCGCTTGCTTGCGTTTTCCCCCACTTTGACGAACTAACTCACGTGGTGATTCGTGCGTCCTCAAGCATCTTTTAAAAGTTTGCTGAATCTTCGTAACTCGTACATATTTCAAGAGTTTGCTGAAGGTCTACTATCGATCTGTGTTTGCTGAATCTTTCAAGACTTTCATCTTTCAAAAGTTTCGGCGGCTGTTGTGCCACAAAGTAAATCTGCAGAGATTTGAAGCTCGGCGGCGCCGTTTCATCATCACTTGCGATATTTTCGGCACCGGGCAAACGAACATTTTAAGTCTATGTTCTTTTATTCGAAAAAACTCATAAACAGCATACAGTAACTCCACTCAAGTCACTGAAAGCAACACACTCGACCAAACTTCTGCACTTATTGAGAAGGACCATACGATATCACTAGCCGTCAAGGCTTTTTTATAATGATACTCAGTTTAAATAGAGGTTTCGCTGTAAGCAATCCTTACGTTTAAAATATGCTATGATCAAATTAAAGCCTGGTTTCCATATGATCGCTGCGATCGCTGAGAAAATAAATTCAACGATCGCAGCGATCATAGCGATCATATGGAGGCCACTCCACCAGCGATCGAAGCGATAATAATCGCTGAGATATAAAAAGTTCCATCTCAGCGATCGTTGTCGCTCGCTAGAGAGTGGTTTCCAGATGATCGCTGAACTTTTTTTTTCTCAACGATCGCAGCGATCACAGCAATCGTAGCTATCATATGGAAACCGGACTTAATCTATCGCAATAACCATCCACCTTTCCTCCTCAACGCTACCTGTACGCCTTACAAACATATCGAACACACTCTTCTAAGCTCCGATTACTCCTAGTAATAATTAATAATAATCTTCTTATATAGCGCTGTTTCTCTACTGAACCAACAGCGCTTTACAACAGTGAATGATAAAGAAAACTTAATAACATAAAAGAGCCTGAAAAAACCCAATACTTAATGATTCTTGCAATTCAAAGCAATTTCTAAAATTGTACGTCTTAAGAGTGGATTTAAAAGATTCTGGAGACTTGCAACGTTTTATACTTAATGGGAGGGTATTCCACAGTTTTGGGGGCAATGAAACAGAAAGCTCGCTCCCCATATGTTTTAAGATGGCAGCGGGGCTTCTTTATCCGACGAAGCGAGTAATGTCCGTGATGGTCTATAGTGAATTAAGACGGGTCACTTAGAAAGGATGGCGCTAGTTGATTAAGACATTTAAAAGTCATTAGTAAAATTTTAAAAATTAATTATTACTTATATATTCCTTAAGTTGTTTCTCAGGTCGAATTAAGGCATGGGTCCCCAATGATTCAGTCAAAACGTAATGGGGGGTGGTCTATCTCTGGGCACTTAAGCAGTAAAAAGATGAGACTTTGCCAGATACATACATGTGTGGTTTCTGTCATTTAGGTGATTTTCAATTATGCAAATGTTGTCACGTGACTCCACACCGCCAGAAAACAATAAAAATTCTTTAAACAAAAATGGCAACACTTTTTGTTGTGAGTTATTAAACCGGACTGGTTTAGGACAATGTGTAATGCAAGCATCTACAAAACTGTGCTGGGCCTTTTTTGAATTTTTTACTTTTTTTCGAAAATAAATGACTTTTTCAACTAG